GTGGTCCGCTTATGATCCATGAGCACATGGAAACACACTCACATACTATACACATGCAAAATGATAATTCACTAAAAGTGTAAGAAGACACTAATGAGCATTCATCAGTTTCTTAGATTATACAGCAGCAGCTCATCACGTGATAAAAAGCACATCATAATGAAGGCAGCACAAAAACAGACCCTAACCCCAAACGGTTTTCTTTATCAAAGCAGACATGTGGCTTTCAGCAAAGACATTCCTACTAAATAATCTAAAGTTTGATCGCAAAAATCCCTCGCCATGTCTGTCTGCCTTATAAAACATGGAACACTGCTCCCGAAAGAGATGACGGCAATGACCCAACCTGTTATGCACTCCAGTGTGTGTGTGTGTGTGACGGGGTGGGGGGTTTGGTTCCTTGTAGCTTGTATGGACAGGTCTGTCATTCAGAAAGCGCACACAGTCTCCATTGTAGAGCCGTCTGTGGTCCCCATCGGGTCAGGGTGGGGTGGCAAAGGGGGCCTCCCGAATAAAAATACGTGCAGCAAACAGGAAGTGGGCCTGTAAGGATAAAACGAGAAATGCGTGAGCGAGCGTTTATGAATGGAGGTTGGTCATATGTCCTCAAATGTTTCACCTCAAATTGCTTTCTTTCTCCTATTCTGATTCCTCTTGATAGAGTGATTCGGTATGTTTGGGTTTCACTTTAGATGGTCCACAGATGTCCGAGCTGCGCTGGAGATGTTATCAAGTTCTGACTTACAAAATGACATTCTCTGAAAGCGTGTCCTTGACACTAGTATATAGTGTCTGCCAGTGTGATGATATAATTTGAACACTTTCCAGGGCAGTGACATGTTTCAGAAAAAAAAAATTCAAGACCTAATATTATTCGTGAAGTCCAAACTTGCTCACAGTATGTGTGCCCTTGGGCCTTGCATGTGTGTTTATAGGAATAGGTTGTGCTGAAAGTGCATGAAAGGATGCTAAATGTGTGTGAGTTAACTCTGTGAACCCAGGTGCTCTGCCTTCAAATATTCCTTTCCTATTTGCCCAGCATCTGTTTCATCCCAGCGAGTGACCACTCCACAGCTCCACTGTTTTCTTTCTGGGTGGACTTGTCAGCTGTGATCAAATCAGACTTTTGAGAAGAGTAAATTTCCTTTCCAGACATAGCTGATTACTCCACCCACTTTGATATGCTTGAAGTTGCTCGTTAATTCCTGGACACTTGTTTATTTAGGGCCCGAGCACCGACGTAGTCGGAGCGGAGGACCTATTGTTATTATGTTTATTATTAGGGCCCGAGCACCGATGTAGTCGGAGCGGAGGACCTATTGTTATTCTGTTTATTATTATTATTATTTTTGGTGTTTCGTCGCAAAAAGGAGGTGCTTGGGAAACTGGAAGGTTTTCGAAATTTGGAACGCAAGCCAGAATTTGCAAAAATTGCAGGCTGATTGGGGTGTCCAGCCGCGGTATGAAATATTGGCTCGATAGCGCCCCCTATTGAGTAGCCCCAACATTGGGTTTCAACTAGCTGTATGAAATTTGGTTGGTATGTGGAACGTTATGGGACGTACAAAAAATCCTCTTCTAATTTTTCACTAAACCAAACAGGAAGTCGGCCATTTTGAATTTTATGACGTTTTTGAACCGTTTCAAGGTGTCATACTTTAACGAACTCCTCCTAGAAATTTAACCCGATCAACTTCAGATTTGGTCAGTATGCTAGGCAAACAGTAAGTCCTTTCTTGGCAAACAAGCAAGCAGGGACTTACCGCTCGCGCCAAGCAGGGACTTACCGCGCCAAACAGGGACTTAACTTAAATCAGATCAACATCAAATTAGTTCCACACAAATGTAAGAAGTTCATAATGCCAGTTCATGAAGCTTTTGATGTTTCGTCGAACACCGTTGCCGTGAAAAACGGAGGGAATTTTGAGAGGCTAAACATGCTCGAAACATAAGCAAACTTGGCAAACATATTTCAAGCCCAAAATGAAGTTATATAATATGATTTTATTCGTTCAGAGTGGCAAATCGGCTCAATAGCACCCCCTACAAAATTTCGACGAAGCAGCCTTCGCAGTACGTCTCACCTAGATGTATAACATTTGGTAAGCATATGTATCACATGTGGACTTAAAAAAAAGTCTTCGGGGTCTAAGCTCTAAACCAGGGGTCTTCAACGTTTTTCAGGCCAAGGACCCCCAAACTGATAGAGATGGAGCAGGGACCCCCGACTATATATATTGTATAAAATTGTGTTTTATATTAAACTGGGCCTAGTGCCATGTATAAACATATCTCTTTATTGTGCATTCAATACTAAGCTATTCAAATAATACACAGGTTCCTATATTCATGTTTTTATTTTAAACATGTGCAAGGTACAGTCAGTAGGGTGGCTGTGCCACTGCCATTTAGAAACATACCTTGTCAACTGATACCAATGCCAATATCAACATTGTCTGTCAATTGCATGATAATCCTTCATACAAGCTATTCAAAAATAGGGCTAGTCTTACTGTTCATCAACTGTTGCCTGACAGAAGTTCTTAAATATCTCCATCTCCTCCTCGGTGGTGGTTGTAGGCTGAACGTGACGCTCAGTCTCCAGCAGGTCCTGTGTTTCTTTCAGAGCTACTGCGATTCTGTTCGTCTCCACTCTCTGTTCGTCCATCTGGGCTCGATAGAAAGCCTGGGATTTTTCCAGAGTCTGCTTTGCTGCTTCCCACTCTTGTGCTCGAATGGAAGCGATGACCTGCACCTGGGACTGAAAGGGGTCACAGTTTTTTTGCTTGCGTGTAGCCTGACAGAAGTTTTTAGATATCTCCATCCCCCCTCGGTGGATTTCGTGGTTTCGTTATTTTTGTGGAGAACATCTAGAAAATGTTACAGACAGTCTTCTTCAATTTCTAGGAGGACTCTCCCCTTAGATTTTGTTTGGGTGAGCCTTGCCTCGCTGTCCGACAGTTCACATCTTACTTGTTTCTCCAGTGTGTGTCAAGTGTGTATCTGAACCAACTTGATGTCTGTCTATTCTGAAATACAATATACTAATACATCTTCTGCTCCTGCTACTACTGCTTGCGAATGGGGCTCCTGTGGCAAAAAAGTGAACGAGGACGACAAAGCCGTTGAGTGTGAAGTCTGCTTACTTTGGTTTCACATAAAATGTCAGTAGGTTACAATCAAACTGTATGAAGTCCTCGCTAACAACGACAGCTGCTCCTGGTACTGTTTCTTCTGTAAACGCGGAGACAAGACATTTCGACTGCAACTAGTGGCTATCCAAAGAGACCAACTAAATATGCAGGAAGCAATTGAAACTCTCTCAGACAACACCAGTGCAAACACGACTGATATTGTGAAGCTGCAAACTGATTTACAAACAACAAACACCAGGATAAACTCACTGAACAAAGATTTTGTAAATATAGTTGAGCGGATGGAGGAGGAACTGAAAAAGCCCAGATCACACAGCCAACTTGCCGCTGACCTCAAGACTGAAGCAGAACATATATCGGCATCTAATGCACTAGCTACGGCCAAGATCAACTCACTGGAAAACATCACTAGCAAAATCAACCCTACACAACTCACGTCAGTTGCCCAAGACACAAGAAGTCTGAGAGAAGGTTTAAGGGTCTAAAAACCATAAGCCCAGAGTGCTTGAGTATCCAGTTTGGACAGATTAGATCGTAACCCACAAATTATCTCACATGTATCAGAGCCGGTGGAAGGAAAATGCTACATATAATAAAGCACCTTCTATCTTCTTGACGCAGAGGAAACACACAATTCAAGACATTTTGTCGCCAACAAATATTCTGCAGCGCCATGTTTTAGCAGCAAGAAGGAGGCAGGAAGCAGCGGACAGTTTAGTATGTGATACATTTTTATTGATTCACAGTAATGATGAATGGATTGATGATTTGGTCTTTAACTGAAATTTGCCTCTGACTCAGCCAGTGACTATCCACAGTTATCCTCACGTTCCTCCATACACAGGCACAGATTACTTTTTGTAGGAGTGTAGGCATCACAGCTAAAAGCAACCTAAATCACATCACATGAAATATTATTTGTTTTTTCTTTAGATGAGGTTAAAGTCCCTGAGAGCACAGCTTTCTATAAATATGATTGTAGATAAGCACCGTGTAGCTCACACTCTCAGCTTTAAAGACAAAATAAAAGCATAACTGGCCATGGAAAACAATGTCCCAGTGCTATGCCTACAGCGTGGGTACAATACAGTAATATGGTGAGAGTGGTTAGTATGAACCAACTTAAGATATGGAATGGCATATAATTTTAAATAACACAAAGAACAGACCGTAATATGTCAAGAGCAACTGTACACACGCAGAAAAATAAGAAAAGCATCTCAACAAATACTCATTTTAGACTTTCAGATCCTTCTTCTTACATTAGTGTGTCCAACAGTTTTGAGTGATAGGGCTGAATGTGTTTGTGCATGCACCTATTCTTTCTAAGCCTTCTTCGTGGAGTCATGAAGGCCCAGTGAGGAGGAAGACTAAAGTAATTTAGTCTGCAGTTGATGACTTTGAGACTTGTCCTTTCCACAACGTGTCCTGGAAACTGGCCATTAGAAAACCATCTTAACAGGTTTGACCACTAAGACATTAAGCCAAACACATCAAACACATGAATGGGGTAAAACAACATGATTAACACAAGTTCCATGTTGTAAAGACAATGGAGTTGCATCATTGTTTGGTATGGAGTTAACACGTTAGCAAAGAAAGTGTGGAGGGATGCAGTATATTATAGCAGGCCCAGCTTTAGTAAAAATAAGGCCCCTGTTTACTGTGTTGAAGCGTGAATTTAGGAGTTTATTTATTTTTTATATTTTTTTCTCCCAGACAAACTTGTTCTCGTTGGGGAGCTGAAAATGTCGGCTTGTGGTCTCTGTATGGCTGCCTACAAAAAGGCAACTCTGGTAGTAAAAAGTGTCTGCATAATTCTTTCTCCAAACTTCATCCCTTTGTCTCTTTCTGTCTTACTTTCTCAATCTTTCTTTCAATCGCTGTCTCCCTCACTAAATCTCTCAGAATATAAATCTCAGAATATAAATCTCTCAAACTTGTATTTTATGTAAAGATGGAAATCCAGATTCTCGCTCTTTCTATGATTCCTTAAGTAACAATTCCATAGTGTTTCTTTATGAAGCACATACTATAGCCCTAACCTTAACCGTAACCTTATGTCTAACCCAAACAGACGTAATTAAAAGGTTTTTTATATGTTCTCAAAACCCAGCCTGCCTGCCCGCCACAATATTGTGGTTTTGTCAGGCCGTTTTTTCCTCCCATCAGAGAGGCTGGAAGAGAAAAACTGTACAGTTACAGTTGTTTTAATAACTAAAATGAATCAACAATTATTCATATGATTCATGGGAATGTTCTAATACTATGTCCTGTATGAAATAATTTTCCCTCTCTGGTTGGTAACGTCAGAAAAACAAAATAAATATTCAATATTGTTAAGCGCTAGGTAAGAAACTCTTTACTGAGCATGCTGTGTATGTGTGAAATCCATGAATAAATAATGTTGCAGCATAAATAGTACATTGTATATAAAAACAAAACAACTTGTATTTCACTTTCTGAAGAGTTTTTAGATAAATGCCCTAAGAATTCAATTTGGTGGCTAATTAAAAAAAGAGTATGGGGGCAAAACTAGAATACTGATGTTTAAAAGATAAAGTGCTCTGTTTAAAAAAATAATTTGACCTGTTCTTACCTAATCTAGATGAGAAGCAAAACATCGTAGCATAACTACACTTTTATAAAACAATGATTTTGTTAAAACCAAAGCAATGATAAAATATCTAATTAACTGTTAAAGAAAACTACCCAAACTGCATTGTACAACACTGTTCACCTGAAACGTAGTGAGGTTGATATAACGACATACACTATTGTTAAAGAGCACCAATATTGAAGTAATGTAAAAGCGCAACAGTTACAAAATTCAACAATTTGGGTAAAATAATGGCAACAGAGCAAATAATTATTTGCTACATGTGCATTAAATCCGTCTTTTGCAACTGAAATTACGCAAACTCACAATATTATAAATTTTTTCTCTGATTTTCATATCTTCTAGATTGGAAATGAGATTTCCCAGCAGCACCGTCTTCCCCGTTGTCTTTGTGACAGATCAGTTGTAGCGACATTAAGGTCATTCATGCGTACACATTTTGAATAACTAACTTAAATTACTAGTCGTCCACATTCACAAAAATCTGTATAGTATGAATCAATATCCAACTTAACTTAACTAACATGTTGAGCCATCTGGCAACTGTTCCACTCTTGTTGTCAATGGAGTGTCTGCAATGGTCACTGCTGTGATATGATGTGCTGATGAATATTTTATCCACATATGCCAAGGAGATGATCAGGCGACATTTTGTATGTTGTCTGTTATTGTGGGTCCTATGGTCCCAAGGGCCTGGGGCCATTGACCTCAGCCCATCCTGAGTAGTCTCTGGGCCCCATTGGAAGGCCTTTGCACTGGGCCCTCGGATGGGTTACACAAAGTTGTTGGTAATTTGCCTCTGGTGCTCAAACAGGTCCTCAATCTCTGCACTGTATGCATCACCTATAATGGAGAAAAGAACATAATCAGTGACAGAGGAGGGGAGACGTTAAGATAAAGTGAGGGAGAGGAAAAGGCTTTTCTGTCCTCACCTGCATGACATCCATACATGTAAGCTCTGTGGCCATCGTATTTGCACCGACATCTCATGACATTGTTCATAAAGTCAGACTCAGCCATGTCCATCGAGGGGTTGATTTCCACCTGCAAGACGACAGGATACCAACGATTTAATGTCACAATGTTTCTGACCTCATGACTTGCAGCTGCATACTTAATCAAACAAACATTCATTAGGAAATGGGAGAATTTATCACTTTGTTGTCCTCACTTTCATTGAATACTGTATCTCCAGCAGGCACATGGTCAAACAAGGACTAAGTCTCCCCTCACTGCACACCGAGAAAGCCATTTGAAATAAAGAGCAGTTGGATGTAAAATTGTTAGAGGGCCTGTTATTAAACAGCACCCGTGGCTGGTATTGTTTTTATAGTCAATCCCTTTTTCGTCTATAAAAAGCTGGATGACTTTTCCATACAGTATTTCTATTTGAAAAGATAAATACGCTGAATGATGACAGCTACAGTAAGCATATGGACTGAATAACATGTGGTGGTAAAACATTTGCTTTTACCATGCAAAGCACGAAACATGCTGATAGATCTTTAAGGAAAGCTTCATCGTAAAATATTTTATTACTTGTATGAAAACATGTAACAAAGACACTTCTGCCCACACAAAACACGATAACTGGCTGCATAAGAGGTTATGCAACTTTACAGCTGAAGTTCATGGAATGTGGTTGCTCCTCACACCAACATAAGTAATAATAATAGACTGAATTGGACTGAAATTGATGTCTGTTGCAATAGAGTAGTTATGCATAAGCATGTTTGTAAGTCTGAAATACTCTGAGTGCTGCCATATACCATACTAATAGTCTGTCATTTGCAGAGCAGCTCCATAACTGCTGATACAACCATTCTGTTAATCTGGTCTGGTGATAATACTGAAGAGCCATTTACTCTAATAGCTGCTCTGTAAACTGCTACACCCAATTTAAGTACATGTTACAAACAGCTACAGGGAGAACGAAGGCAAACTACACACAAAAAAAAGGCAGAAAACCAAAAAAAACTTAGTGAATGCACAAAGGCTGTCTCTTAATTTTTCAGGGTAAATTACCATGTTGGACCAGAGAGGAGAAGAGGACCAGTTCACGTAGAACGTGTTGCTCAGTGAGAAAGTGGCAATAAAAATAGGGCAGGAGGAATTCCTTGGTGGCAAATTAGCTGTTGCTAATGGAAGGGGGGACTCGCTGCTCTTTGACTAAAGGGAGGCAATAGTTCATTTGGGTAATTGGTCTGTTTCATTAGCAGTGGGTTGTTCAAGGGTAGGTCTGCTGAATCCTTCAATAAAGTTCAGGATCAGAGAAGTCAGGCATCATCTGCACTTTACTAGATCAATGAAAGAACCCAGTTGAGAGCTGTCGCATTAGATGTTTGTATTTTTCCAATTCAGCAGCCTTGTTGAATAACTAACTTCCTGCTTGGCTTTCTTGTTTCTCGTTCTTCTCAGTTAACTTTGGTTTTGTACCCTTAGTGCTTTTTCTCCTCAAATGACCCTGACCTTTTCACCTTCAGTAGCTTTTCCAATTTTGTTCTCCCATTCTGTGCTCTATCATTCATTCCTTCTTTCCGCCTCAACATTGTGCTGTAGCAATGTACGACTTTATAATTATACCCCGCTCAACATGCTTAAAATACATCTAGTCAGCACATGAATTTATGCGTATATATGTGTGTCACGTGTTGTTACGAGTAAATTAAAAAAATCCATCTTCAATAGAGAGTAGAGAAGTGTAATTACAAAGACTGAGAATGACCTCTCAGACAAACAGGGTGACAGCAGTAATTATCAGACACCCAGTTACACTGTAACCAATCTGCCACAGCTGGGATGTAATTGTCAGCATAAGATCTGAGAACTGCTGCGTACATGGTGGGATCAGTAGTCTGAACTGGAAATGGATGATAATGGGAGATGGAGTCCTTGATGTGTTTTAGTCTAGCTGCCACAATGACTCGACTGAATGACCTGGGTCAAAGTAATGACAGACAGAGGCATGGTTGAGGTGATGACTGTGATGATGGAGGTTGAGAGGTTTAACTGAAATAGATGGAAGTCAACATTAAGATCCTGTGAACCTCTTTCTCATTAACTAAATCTTTGGCCTTAAAGCTAGGGCTGGGAATCGTTCATCGCAAATGTAATGATTGGACGGGATTACAGTCTTGCAACAGGTACCAGAATTTTTCTTATTTTTGTCCGAACATTTGATTTATTGATTGCTGTCGGGTATAATGATAATTTCAACAAAAATGTATTTTAAGTTGATGACCAACCCGAACTTTATCGGAAAAGTTAGGGAAATATGTCATATATTAATCGTATATTCGATTTCTTGAGAGTTAGATGAGAAGATTGATACCACTCTCATACCTGTACTCTAAATATGAAGATACAGCCAGCAGCCAGTTAGCTTAGCTTAGCACTAAACTGGAAATAGGAGGAAACAGCTAGTCTGGCTCTGCCCAAAGGTAACAAAATCCACCGACAAGCACCTCTCAACCTCACTAATTAGCAAATTATATCTTGTTTGTTTAATGCGTACAAAAACATAAGGGTATAGACTTCACGTCACGGTTTGACGAGGGGTTATGTGTCGGACTATTTCATGGCTTGGTGCAGTTGGAGTCTTATCATCCCCATAAACTTACAAGGTAACTAGTGGAAACTCTAAAGGACACGACAGGACACCAGACTCCTCACCGCACCTAAGCTGCTTGGAAGTTGTGTGTAGTGCTAAGCTAGGCTATTTGGCTTCTGGCAGTAGTTTCATATTTACTGTGCAGACATAAGAGTGGCATAGATCTGACTCTTTGCAAGAGAGAAAAATGTCGAACTATTACTTAAAACACAAAGTTAATGGTGATTGATTTACGTGACATGATAAAAAAAATACTTTGAAATGTTCCCAAACTACAAAAAGGGAGAGAGGGGAAATATAAAATGACTTGTGACCTGGAAGATGTAGTCTCCTGGCCGTACATCTGTTACGTCGACCCACTGACAGTCGATATCGTGCCGATACGTATCCCAGCATCCCACAGAGATACCCTGATCACCCATATTATAGCAGGAGAACCGCTTCTGGAGTCCTAACACACAGACACACACCAACATCATTATCAATCACAACATCAAAGCTCATTTAATGCCAAGCACTCCCTGTTATTTCTAAGAGCCTTCAGCTTTCTGAATTGCGTCAGACTACATAGGAACTCTGTTTTTTCAAATGCGCTACTTCATCCATGATATAACAAGTAAATGGAGAGTGAACAAATAACAACAGCAGTGATATAAAACATTAACCACAAAGTAAAAATTTAAACAGCAGTAGCTGAAATATTGATATTCATTTCCTGTCACTAATGGGAAAGAGTATTTCACTGGGACTCATGAATAGTGGTGAACATTACCGTCGGGGCAATACGTGTCCTCCAGACAGAAACTGGCCTTGTGTCCCTCTGCAACCCTCGTGCCATTCAGAGTCAGCAGGTCGTAATGTGTGAACACCTCGATACTGTGGTAGTGCCTGGGATGACAGAAGGGAAAGTCCAGGTGAGAGTGTGTGGTATGTGTGCACGTCTATGAGTGTGTGCATTTACGCTAACTGAACACTGGCTCCCTATGGCTCGTATCCTCGTGACCTCACTGCTTGAACATGAGCGTGGGTGTCACCGTAAAACCTCTCACAGAAGCTTGTTTTAGCCGCAGCTTGGTTGAGCTTTTGACTCGTTCTGAGTGAATAGAGGGCTTTGAAACACACATCTATAGCTCTGATGTGTTGTTGTAACAAACTGAAATGGACCTGATTGTACATGGGCTACCCTGTCCTTTGTATTACACAGACCTGTGGTAACTGGATTGGTTCAGCCGTCATTTCCACAGACATATGCTGCAGGGCGGCTAATGAATCTGGAGAGATGACATCACTGTCTCAGGCCACCCATTACTTACTGGGACACATGTCACACAGCCAACACTGTGGGCTTCAAATGGCTCCTTCTTCTCTCATGACGACAGACCTCAAAGTGCTCTCGTCATCTGACAAGAAACTAACTTACTGAGAGCAACATGGGGATGTAGAGTGGAATTTGTGAAGAGTAGATCTGAGGACAAACTTTTGTCTATTTACAACTGACGGACAAAACACAGCCTGAGTCCTGGCGACGGACAAAGGCTCTTGTGTTTTTAATGCCTGTGCTGCATACTACCTGCGGCCCCCTCGCCTAACCCTGTGTGCACTGGCACAGAGATCACGCTTCAGCTTGTTTTCTTTTCTGGTAGCAATTGAATGCAATTAAATTAAATATAACTCAAATTACTAAACGTGGAGGGAGTAATGTCATTATTGCACGTTAAAGCAATTTTGTACAAGGAACAGGTGTTTGTCACTATATTTTTGATATATTAAAAACCACAGCTCACCTGTATCCAGGACACTCTAAACCAGTTTTCCCAAAAAACACTTTTTACCACAAGGGCAACCACAACATCCCACTTATAGTAAGTACGTAAACAGTTCTTTCCATTGCAACATCCTAAGCAATGTAACAGCTCCATGAACTCCTGTGGGATGCTCTACCTGTGACACTGGTGCCATGTCCAGCTCTCTCTTGTTGCTTTGGGTCTGAAATCGGAGCGACCCATGTTCATAATGCGGGAGGAGAAGCGCAGCAGGCGTCGGTGCCCATAAGGCCAGTTCATCCTGGCAGCAGACGAGGACAGACAGTTCTCCTCATTGGCACAGGTCAGCAGGTGGAGGGGTCGGTCCTCCAGGTAGGCTGTCTCCTGGACCAGCTGGGCGTCCAGAACGAGGTCAGGTGCCGCTGAAGCAGGTCAGATGGGATGGGGTTATGTTAGGATTCAACCAGGTATAAAAACAGAGGAGAATCCGGGGAGCCTCAGGAAGATGGCTCGACTTACTGTCTGAACAGCTGACCCCAGCGGCCTTAGTTCCACCTCCACGAGGACAATGGACATGGTTGTTGCGACGACACTGTTGAATAGAAAGCTCTGTGCCCACACAGTGAGATCCACTGAGAATCACATCAGCTGCATTTGGCTCACCGGGCCAGTACCAGGTCTCCTGTCAGAGGAAGGGCGTGGGGGTGGAGTCACAGGACATAGACAGCTTGTCAGGTTTTCTATCAATGAGCAGTATCATAGCTCATTGTCTTCCAGAGTGAATACAGGGGCTGTGACTATGGATTGGCCTCCATGTGTTTCATCAATACCTCAGACACTGCTGATGGGATTTTGACAAATTTTGGAGGAATGATACCCCTGAACAAAATGACACTAATTAGTTTAGAGATGGGAGTGTTACATTGTTTGTTGATTCAGGACATCATGCATCATCCATTTAGATACTGATTATCAGACATTGATAAAAAAGTTATTCAAAATGACCCAAATTAAGGAGTGGCAGTACAGTCAGAGATCAAAATGACATGCTTGCTGCCACCTTGTCAGTTATGAATGTAGTGGTTGTCAGGGAGGTTGTTACCTGATGAGCACTGGCAGCGAAGCCCAGGCCGAGCTGTCTGCATAACACCATGGCCTCGTTGATGCCCCAGTTCTCACTGCAGACAGAGCCCCAACGCTTACGACCCCCAACCTCCATCAACACCTCCACACGGCCTTCTGATGGGACTCTACCGCCAACAAGTCGTGCCTGGAAATCCATTAAGGATTAAATGGGTGATGCTTTATCAGTGAAAGCTGACGAGTGTCTGTCTTGTGATATTTTTCATACCTTGTTCTCCATTCCGGTCTTAGGGACGTTACAGCGCACTGAGGCGTCCTGGCTGTGTTTGAATGTCCACGGTTGGACTTCCTGGAAGTAGCAGTCTAGGATGGAGCGCTCTGACCCCATACACTGGACACTGTTCATATGGATAGGTCCTGTTCCTGAAGAGGGAGGAGGAAAAGAGGTAGATTTAAAGACTCTGCTGACAAAAATAAAGCAGGGAAATACAATATTTCTTGTGCACCGTTTTAGGCCACCCAACGTAGACACAAAGGCATTAGCAGACTTTATCACGCAAAGGAGCACACACACACACACACACATGCAAGGCTCTGTATTTCTTTCACATGAATGTACTTTCTCTATTTTAGGGTCATACCAACAATGAAAGGTTCTTATCTGTCATGACACAATGCTCCTGCAAGCCAAGCAGCAGCCCCACCAACATCTACTTTAGGGATCTGTCACACCTCATTACCACCATTCTGTTGCTTCGGGCACAACAACAACTACAACATGGTGTGTAGTCCACCACCCTGGCTGAGCAAACAAGGCAAAATCTGTGGCAACAAAATGAAAGACTTTCACTCGTAGTCGTTTGCCATTTAAAACCAGATAATCTCTAAACAGCATAGAAGATGGTGGAAACAAAAAGCAAACAGCTGCTGCCATAAAGACTGCAGTAAATTAAAACACAGAACTAACTATGGCTTCAGTGTTTTCCTATAACAAAAGGCACAAAATGAAAACCTGGACCGAGGCAGCATTGAAATAAACACAACCAAAACCACAAAAACCAGGGGGAAGAGAGAAAAAACAAGAAAGTAGGGCGAGAAGGAAGATGACTGACGGTAGCAACCAGATTGCAGCCTATAACCCGATCTCTCTCTATGCTGGTTTTGGTAGATTGTAGGCCTGCTTCCATACTGGTCACAATGCATGGGTTCATACGTATGAAAAAGACACATCGAAACCACTTCCGCCTCTATCTGCAGCGTAAAAGCTACAAACTCCCACTGTTTAACTTATCAAGACAAACACGGGGCCCAGTTCGGGGATCCTCAAAATGAGCAGTGACATGCTGTATTTAAGTTTACACACACACACACACACACACACACACACACACACACAGTGGCAGTCAGGATACTTTACTCCCTTATGTAAGTATAGTACTAGTAAGTATAGTAATCAACAAAGGAGGTCTCTGTACTATAACTCACTGATGGTGATGATCAATGTAATGATGATGGGAGTAAGAGAGTTATTATATTATAATATTACAATATTTTCTTCACTTTAATTCTATTTCAATTTCACAAATGATCAAATCATGAACTTCATCATAAAAGATTGACAGACAGATACAGCTATGAGAGCAACATTCAGGCATAAAATAAATGTGGTAGCTTAAATTTAGTATTTAAAAGAAACGGATTGAGCTTAATTAACATATAATTTAAATTGGCAAATGCCACAGATCATTTGGACAGATTAGAAAATGTACTTAAGGGGATGGAAAGAGGGTAACATAGGTCACATTCTTGTTGAAAAATAATATAAATAGTTGGTTGGTGGTTACAAGGGAAACCCTGTTCTTTTCCTCTCTGAAATTATACTCCGTTTTAGGCACATTAATGTAGTCTGAAGTTTTTCTTTCCATGGAACGTCTCTCTCTATGCCTCTAACAAAAACTCTCTGTCATCAGTTAGATCTGTTTCTTAGCCAAGTGCTAAAATCATGTACGTTTGTAAATAGATTTGCCTGTCTGTGTGCTTTTAGATGGCAGAAGCCAACCAGCATCAACATAATGTTTCCTTTTCCTCCATCATCAGGAGCTGGATAACAAGGGGACGACCTCGCTTATCCCAGAGGGGGATACTCTGCATACCACCTGTATACCGCAGGTAGGTGCATATGTGCAAGCAAGTGTTTCAACATATCTGATATATGAGATCACATTCAAAACACGGATCTCTGACTGGCAGACTGTTAACCTCCCTCTCCAGCCAAACAGCCAGTCGACCACAACCTTTATCACATTTGGTCATCATAAATAATCCAACGAGCCTCTGTGGGGTCTCGTTGCCCCGCTGACTGAAGAAAAGATTTTCACATACTGACAGAAATAAGTTATATTTTAAATGTAATTCAGTTTGATGTGAATAATATAATTATTATTATTATAATCAATGCTTTTTGAGATTAAACATTGCACAAAACTTCATTTTAATCAATCCACTCTTTCAGGAAGTCGTTCTCAGTGAGGGTTTGTTTGATCAAAGAGTCTATTTTAGACCTTTTCCAACGACATATAGCTCTATGTTTATGTGGCCTTCGAGCACATGGAAAATTATATGTCAGTAAAATGTCTAACAGGCTGCATGTTATAGAAAGGAAGCTATGAGAAGACTTTGAAGTCCAATCATCCTGCAATAGCAGTGTATATGTAAGTTTAAGACAGAGACGGATAAAAAGGGAGAGTACTGTGTGTGTACACAGTACCCTGCAGCGCATAGCGAACACAGCTGGAAGGATCATTGGTGCCTCACTCCCCTCACTCCCCTCCCTGCAGGACATATACGACACTCGCCTCACCCGCAAAGTGACCATGATTGTGCGCGACTCCAGCCACCCCTCACACAGTCTCTTCAGCCTCCTGCCCTCTGGGAGAAGATACCGGAGCCTCCGTGCTCGCACCACCAGACTCTCAAACAGCTTCGTCCACCAGGCTGTTAGGAAGCTGAACTCTCTCCCTCCTCTCTTTTAAGACTCCCCATGTCCAACTGCTGCTAAATACAGATTGATAGTTTTTTTGTTCTTTTTTCTCTTATTATATATATATATATATATATATTGTCTAAATGTTTTTTTAATCTATTGCACAGTATTCACTTTATATGTTTATATGTTTATATGTTGGACTAGAGAGAAACGTCTTTTTAACTCCCCTGTATGTCCAGTACATTGTGGAATTGACAATAAAGCAAACTTTGAACTTTGTGTGTGTGTGTGTGCGTGTGTGTGTCTCTGAGAGAAACGATAGCATGTACGTATATGTATGTGAAGTTGTTTATGGGCCCTTTTATTGTGCAAGCACAACGAGAAACGCAAAGTGGTAGGTCTCGGGACTGTGTGGCTGTCTCCAAGCACACCTGCTATTTTGGTTTCTGCATGTGCACAGTGCAAATGGGCTGGGTGAGGGTGGATATACGTAGATCAGAGGGTGTGGTGATTCTTAAGTACAATCTCAGCCAGTCATATCACTGGTCTCATCACTGTGAAACAGCTCTGCAGATCACAGGCACAATGTGAATATAGAGCACCACAAATCTGTGGCCAGAGGCAGATCGTGTGTTTTTTTTTAAACACTTAATTAGCACAATGATAATAGAAGCATATAATACAACAAAGCGCTTTAGAAGATTGAATTAATTCAATGCTATTTCAGTTGCAATTTGACTGTATTCACATTGTACAATTTTGGAGAGGAGGTTGTGACGTGCCGGATTAATAAACTCTGGTAATTATACCAAGTTATAGCCGACCAGTCGGATGTGTGTAGAGCGGTTATTCTGTAGCAGCCTGTTGTCGTTTGCGTGTCATCTTATCGAGGTGAACAACGTGGACGCTGTGCGTATTGGCACTGCACTCTGGCGCAGCACTTACCAACATATCTGTCTTGATGCCTTCAGATTTAATGAACTGAAAGAGCGACTTTTCCTATAGTATAAAGCAATATTCAAATACTCTTTTAATAAATAGATAATTGCAGATGGTTTAATTATGTTACTGCTTTATCCATATTAAACCAGGAACAATGTTTTTTGGTGCCGATTTAAATACATGGTTCAACTCATTTTCCACCAAAACACCAGCAACTAGTTGTGGCCACCTCTATGTGCCTTTCCTCCCACCTGTGCACCATGAGCTCTACACTAGGCATCAAAACACTGCACAGAAGGGCATAGACAATTTTAAGATCATGAAAACCTGCATTTCCAGAAGCAAGACCGGAAAAATATGAGGCATGGTCATTTGTGAAACCAAAGCCACGTTTTGTTATAATTCTGAGACTGATTTTATTACATACACACAACCGTGCAAGATATACAGTACATGTCTTGCACATATATAAATGTAGCTTCGTGATCAGATCAGGGAAAACCTATTTTAGGTCTAAAATTGAAAGCTTTTTGGCCCCTCCTGACAATTAAACACCTCTCTGCCTCAGACTGCTGGGACCACGATGAACCTGAATTTAAACAATTAAAAGTGGTGATTGAAACCAGACGGCAAGGGGTGTGAAGCCTGGTGCCTCAGAGGAGCCAACTAAACCAGATTTTAGTCTTGTTAGACTCATCAAAAATAAAGGTAGCATAACACATCATCGACAGAAAACCCAATTTAAGAGGTTGAAAGGTAAAAGGGACTAATCCAACACATACAAAAATACCCTATGATCAACTGGAGAGCTAAACCAGCAGACTGTCATCCCACATTTCATCTCAATCAGCATGATTAGAGACTACACCCAAGCCTGAGGCATGGGGAAGCCGTTTTCACATCTCATAAGGGTGGGGACACCACTGGCGCAGCTGGATAGTGACTTCAGTCTGTGCATCACCAAAGCCGGAAAATTGAAATCAAAGGAAAAAAACCACAGAACTCAGTGAGTGACTAAAAAACTTGCTTGAAGCTAGCAAGATTATGTCTGTGGCTTTAGTAACCAAATGCCAACGTAAACCACCATGGCTTATAGTGTTACATTTTGTGTGTGTGTGTGTGTGTGTGTGTGTGTGTGTGTGTGTGTGTGTGT